GTTAATCGTAAGCTTGACGGAAGGACAAGGAGCAAAACACCCTACGGGGAGAAAGCTGTTTGAGTAAAAACATTCACTGTTCGAGAGTGGAGTGGCTAGGTCTTAAAAGTTCGCTTAGTGAAGCGCTGTCAAGTGTTGTTATGTACCGTATCTGTCGATTAAAAGTACCGGGTGAGCTGATTCGTCACAAGCACATCTTTCCCCGGGCGATTGCTCTAGTCACATTTAAGCTCCACTAAAATCGAGTGATGATGAGAATAAAATATACTAACAGATAAAGGCAGCAACCGCAGCGAAGAGAACTGAAAGTAACGGCAGGGCTGTCTGGAAATCTCAGCGGAGAAAACGTGAGAAAGGTGCCAGCGAAAGGTACAATTGGGAGTGAAAATGGAATCACACTTACCAGACCAATACCTTCCAATGCGCTCATTGCGATGCAGAAACCAATAAGTGTGTCTTTTACATTTGTGTACGCATCGAAAGAGGTATATGGACGGAGGCCAGAGGTGAATAGGTAGGCGAAAATCAGTATGGTTCCAAACAGAGTGGCCACGTTCGCTACCACAGAGAGCAGCGCGAGAGCCCGCATGTTTTCGCATAGGCACATCGGTACCAAGATAGCTGCGACGATGAAACCGACAAGGTAGAAATTTAGAGCCAAGTTAGGAGCAAAAGCGCCCACAAACTAAAATGGAAAGGAGACGATAATCTTCAACCGATGCTATGTAGATGCGAATAAATGACGGCAGTCCTAATAATGATACTCGAAACACTAATCTAAAGTAGTAAAAAATGCATCAGTATTAGGCTGGCATTTCTTACTGACCCTTGGATACCACGCGACCACCGCCAGTCGCGTGAGGTTGCTGAGTTTTAAAAAAGAAGCTTGGTGGACCAGTCTGATTCAAGAAATAGAAAAGGCGCGAGCAGTAGGCAAATATCGCAAGCTAATCCAGCTGATCCGCACCACTGGTCCCAGGAAACTAGGCGTCAGTGAAACAAGCATAGACAGCGCGGGTGCCATGATACACAATAAGGAGCGCCGTATGACTCGTTGGGCGATTTTCAAGATCAGTTCGCTTGGCCGCTTCCTCCGGACATCTTCCTATTCATGTGATGCAGGATGAGCCATGGACGGTTAGTTTAGAACAGCGGTTCTCAATCTTTTATTGTTCTTACCCACAAAGCGAGCTCACCGTAAAAATTACCCACATAAATTTTAGTTTAAAAAATGAATTACCTGTTAAACATTGCATTTTTGCATTAAATAATAGAAAATGAATGTCGTTTTTAAATAAGTTCAATCATACAAAGAAGGAAAAGCACTTATTTTCGGACATGGTTAAACAAGCCAGATGTGATATACTCAATGTGACGATTGGTACTGATTTGCTCTATCAATTTCCGGTACATATGGTGCGGTTTGGGCTAATGCACGTCTTAATTCGTACTCCAAGTTCATTCGGTTCCTTGCTTTGGTGTGTGAACATGGACGGATGTCACTGGCTTCTAATTTGTTTCAACCATCCCTTCCAAGTCCTTCCTGGATGACAGGGTATCATCGTCACTCTGTATCGATACACCCTGAACACTAATCGCCTGTTTTGTTCGTTCTAACTTATGAACATTAGCTCCCGCTTTTACCTGGTCGATTGACCTATGCTCCTACCTCAGTGTTCATTCAACTATGTAATTCGACCAGGCGAACGACTGCTTGACTCAAAAGAACAACGATCGACGAGCGAACAGTTAGAGGCACCATCTATCTGCGATATTTTGCAGTTAATAAAAATTAGTATTGAAAATTGTCTAATTCACTAACCACTCACCAATGATTAGTCAGTGATGGCTAATGAACAATGAGTAGGTAGTTAATTACGTGTTTTGACAGATTGTTTTGTTCTAATTTTGCTTGGTAACAGATTGACGACCTAATCCTACTACTTATATTTATCCTCGGTAAAATCACATTTCATGTAGTATTTTCCTTTTGTAAATTTCAAAATAGCAAGAAGAGAAAACATTTTAACAGGATACGCCGAATTCAGGTATTTCCAGCGTTCGGGTCAGCTGAGTTCAGAGAGGTTTGGAAACAATCACTTGGTATTGCATTTTGGTAACGTTTCGCCCTCGACACAAGAACTTCGTCAGACCAGGTGAATCAGTGTGCAATTAGGGCGGGATTTTATAGTGAACAGGGGCGATAACCGCGTTACCCGAGACTTGAGCAAGGATGTCATTACAGTAACAGTTCGTGATGTCACCTCAGGTGGTTCAATCACAGTGGGAATAGTCCAGGTGTTCTTTTGTGTGTCATGACATTGACGGATAAGCCCATAGTGTTGACAATGGGAGTCGGTTTGCACTTTCCAAACTGATCCACGCACCGATGTTCGTCAGGCTGGTCGGTTTAACACCGCTCGCCACGCATTAGGGAGTTCTACTCCCTCCATTCTGTTCACGCAGTCGTCAGATTTGGCAATCTTCACCGCATCGGCAATCAATCGCTGACGTGTTGATCAAACACCCCACCTAATGACCTCTACGTTTTCGAGGTTATCGCCCCTGTTCGCTATAAAATCCCACCCTAATTGCACACTAATTTACTCGGTCTGAGGAAGCCCTTGTGTCGAGGGCGAAATGTTAGCAAACTACTATACCAACCGATTGTTTCCAAACCTCTAAACTCATGACTACTCGATCGGTTCCTAGTATCTTCCAAGAATCCTGGTTAGCTGTTTATACATATTGGTGAAATTAGCGCGTCGCGTGCAAAATAAAGGCAATGTACAATGTCATTTAGTTCGAAGAAAAGCGAGCAACAACCTCACATTACATTGTACCCATTTGGAGGTAATTACCCCCAGGTTGAGAACCATTGGTTTAGAGGCTAAGGTCCAAAACGCGATTCTAGCGCTCAATGGTTTTCGCGTTGACTGTACAAATTCCCTCCAAACTACGGTATTCAAGAATGAAGGTGAGGTCCTCTGCTAAGCACTGACTCCCCTGTTTGAAAAGGTCTGGAAAAAAGACCAGTAAGGCGAATCGATTATGCTGGTGATATACCCGAAGCGTATTCGCACCGACTGTGTTAACCTCATTGGAGACAAAATTACTAGCCTCAATTTTCGTCCGTCGCCTCAATGCGGAACAAGAATCCAGGATTAAGGAAGAGCAATCAGGTTTCCGACCACGGCTGGCCCGTGGCCTTAAGGATCACAAACCTCTCTTGTGACCTGAGGTCGCGGGTTCAAGCCTACGTAGGGACCAGGCGACTTTCGCAGTATCTTTAAGCCAAGGGAGATAGGTGATTGTGCGCAGCGAAACGTCAGTATTGCATATCGGCGTACCGCTAATGCCATTTTTCCACCCAGGTAGTGGCTGTATAGACCATGTGTTCACTCTGCGCCAAATTCTAGAGCATCGTCAAATGCACCGCAGATCGACAAGAGCTGTGTTCCTCCACTTCAAGAATGCGTTCGACTCAGCCGATCGATCAATTCTGTTTGAAATAATAGCGCGGAAAGTCGTTTTACGTGCTCTGTACTCCAACGCCACAGGACGCATCAGGGTCCGTGGTCAGAGTTCTTCCCGATAACAAACTGCATACGTCAGGGTTACCTAATTTCCCCACTTTTGTCCAACTTCGTCGTGGAATCCTTCATGCTGTGTTCCCTTGCGGAATCTTAAGAATTTTACGATGAAATACCGCCTGGTGGAAAACTAGCTGACCTTGATTATGCGGATGATATCGTTTTGCTGTTTAACGATGTCGGGGCAATGAAATCAGCCCTGAATAACCACTCTAGACTATGTTAATAATTTGGCACCCACATCGCACCTTCAAAGTACAAGGTGTTGTTTCAGGACCACCAGACACTTGATGACCCACTGACCCTTGATAACCAGGAACTCGTATTTGATTAATTCATCTTGGCAGATGCATCAGTAGCAATCAACGCATAATCACTATGGTCAGTTCACGTATTTAGAGATCCAAAACTGTATTCTAGAGTCTACATCTGTGGCGTCAGATAGTTTACCTGGGTCTGAAAGGCCGCGATTAGTAGGACGGCCCTACTAAAGTAGGGCCGCCCTACTATATGGTAGTGAGGCCCAGCTCCTTCAGCTTGAAGATCTGAAACATCTTTAAGTCTTTGATCATCGCTGTCTGCGAAGCATTGCTGATGTGGATGGCACCGGCGTGTCCGCGACGATGATGTGCCTAGGCGAGTGTTAGGCGGTGAGTGTCAAGCTAGTTTCTCAGAACAACAGATGGCACGGAATAAACTGAGTTGGATTGGGCACGTGCTACGTATGCCTTGTCACCGCCTACTGAAGAGGGCTTTGTTTTGTAGGTGATTCGGTGTTGTTCCTCCCAACATCACTTTCCTGTTTGCCAGATGTAGAGTGACACAAAGTTCGGTGTGGGCAAAAGTTGACGGAAGCAGGAACTGAAGTCACTGACGACCAAACTGCGTGCTGTCGGTCGGTTTTGCCTTCCAGGCTGGAGTCCACGTGACTCACCTTGTACTTGGTTTGCGACTTTACAGGTAATGCCTCGCAGTCGACAACAGCGGCGCGCATGCTATCGTCTCCTAGTCGGACTGCCTGGTTATAAGGTGTATGGTGCTGAGTTATCTGCGCGGCAGTGGAAGCCGCAAGGAAGCTTCATTGATGATGCCGCCTTATCTTTGCACGATAGTTGGCTGTTTGTGACGGTATGTTGTTGACGAGGCGTAGGCACCTTGACTCTGAATACTTGCTTATGGCAATAAGGTTTTATGCTAGGTCCCCCTCCTTTCCCTCGTGTCATTTCTCCTTCTGTAGGTCATTGTAGTTGTACGGTACCTAAGCATCAGTTCAAATGACTGACGTACTATGTTGTTGATGATGATGATAATGAGGTCGCGTACACCTATGCGGGTTCGAACCAGGGAGCTCCGGATTACGACGCAGGAGCGTAAGCTTTCCGGCCACCGGCCGACAAAATGACGTGAATAAGTTGTTCCGGCATAGGGAGAGATGAAAGAGAATAAATCGTGATGTCAAAACGTAAACTAGGGAATCAAAGATTTTCTGCTGACTCTTGTGGTAAATCTGTGAGGGGTGCTCAGGTTTCTGGCTAGGATAGCACGCATTTCGATAATTCAGCTAAGGAAGATATGGTGGAACTAAGGGTTCAAGTTATTTGCATATAGCGATTGTAACTAGTTGATAAGACATACACGACCAGTGAAAATATCTGCATAGAAAACCATAATTCAAGTTGTTGTGCGATGCACAATAATGTAATCAAGTAAGCCAAGCATGGCAAAAAAGACCGATAACAAAGGCGACTCTGGATCCTTCCTAATAGCTCAGATGAGAACCGGTCAAATCAAGCTGTGAGAGATGCAGTTTGATTCAGTACTAGACGACTTAAAAAATCAGGCGCCCTTAGTGTACAATAATCAGGAATGCTGTTAGGACGAAGATATCGACCAGAAAGTCCCCAAACCACAACAAATAGGTAATACGTAACAAACCAGCTCACGTATCGGATGTTTTCCGTCAAAAAGAGTGTGTACACGCATAAAGATCCGATTTGAGTGATCAGCAGGAAAACGTTGACTGTGTGCCTGTTCGAGTAAGCTCGCACGTGATAAAAATAGGCCATACTTCATTTTACCCTTGGATTTTCTTAAGGATTCTGGTCCATATTTGAACACATAGAAAACAGTGTCAGTGTAATCCATTTTTGAACGTTCCAGCTGATGGCTGCAAGTAGACGTAAGTGACATGTAAGCGAATCTTACCGCTGACAAACAGACGCAGAGGTACGGACCAGTACGTTCATGAGGTAGGTGGAGATAAAACCTGCGATGAAAATCACAGACAAACCCGTCTAAATAAAGAAAATGAAACATATTTGTTCCAAAAAACATAACTAACCCAAAGTCCACAGTACCTCAAAATCACCGGCATGGATAGCATTCCGGTGCCAATATTACTTCTGATGAAACTCATCAGAGTCTGTGGTTCGCTGAAGGATAATAGGTAATAAATCTAGTCAATACAACGAACCTCAAACCGCCTTCCGTGGTAGAAATATGAACAGGTTGGATGTTGATGTCGGCGTCATTGGTCTCGGTGCTTGTGACACTGAGTGTCTCAATAGTATGCTCTTCGTCTGGATCAACTAGTTCGGTTTTCGAAGAATACATTGCTTGCCAAGCACAACGACCGAGATGCCGACAGCCTGAAATCGATCCACAATTAATGTGAGATATGAGCTTGAGTGATACCAAAAATGTAAGCAGATGAGCCATAGGATTACGTAAATGGTTTATGGGGTGAGGCTGGGTGAATCAGTTCAAAAAGCACAAATAAGGGACAAGCCATAAGTAGTGAATAAAAAACCACACACTAAATTGTCAGATTGCGCATCACGATAACGGCCGTGTGATTAAGCGTGAAGTGAAATAGTAGCCACCTGTCCGGAGGGAATGTTGATTGAAGATGCCATGGTTCGCCCCAACTGATTCAATCGTTATTACAGTTTAGCCTCAAGTCCTGACAGTGCCCCACATTCATTCATTCATCATACACGCTAGCTGCAGGTGGAAAACACCTCAGCTATGGTGCCGAAATACAAAAGAAAAAAGTAAAACAGGTATGCCGGATGAATCACCAATAAGATACGAACATAGGTCCGGAGAGCTAATAGCCGGCTATTGTGCCGCAAAAAGTCGTATTAGCACTAATAATTAAGATCTTAGTTGGAGAGTGAGGCTGAGGGGAAAGGGATGAGCGAAGCTCACAACATAAACGCCACTGGGGTCTGCTCCTAGCTATGTCAACAAGTGTACCCAACCAAGCGTGCTCAGCGTCCTTCGGTCCACAACCAGGGAGCCGAGACGTCCAAACCAAGGCCAACTTCGAGGTAAGGGCCTTCATTCCTCTCCTCTTTTTCTATCTACAATCCCGGGGCGCAAACAATGCACGTCGCAGAAGTCGGTGGGCTAGCATGCACAACACGTGGCCTAGCCATCGGAGCTTGATGTGTGAAATAACGGCGTTGAGCGGTTCGCTTTTTGTTCCTGCGCCAAGAACAGGGCGTCGAACATGCTTATTGCACACACGGTGTTCCTAACAGATATGAGCCAAACTGCGAAGGCACCGGTGGTCGAACGTAAATAGTTTCCTTATGTCTGCTGATCTGTGAATGTGTCAGCTGTACACCGTAACGGCGCTTCGCTGCCGTGCGACCACCACCAGTCACACGCGGGCTGAGTACACCGCGGAGACGCCCATCCCTACGCGGATGCGAAACCGCGCCGCAAGATTGCGAGACAAGCTCGTCACCTCCAGGCTACGGGCCGACGTCTGCTGATCTAATGGGCCAGGTTTCATAACCGTATAGTAGGGTCGAACGTACCTTTGCATGGTACATTCTAGCCCCCAGAGAGAGAGAGTGATGTCGCGCCGACGCCATAGGTAGCGAAGGTTAACAAAAGCGCCTCGTGCTTTTGCTATACGGTTCGTGAGATCGTCTTCAATTCAGATGGCCCAGATACAACTACCTAGGTAGTTGAACTTCTGAACGACCTATAGCTGATCCCACCAAGAGTCAGCGAAGGTGGTCCTGCCAATCTTGGAGGAAAGCTTTGCACTTCGAGTGTGCAAAGCATAGCCCAAAACGGGTGACAGTTAGTGCTAATATGTCCACTGTCGCTTGGCACGTTTGGGAGCTGTCACAGTTAAGGGCAATATCGTCTGCATACACCAAATCAAGAAGTCGTTCACCTGGGAGCAGTTAAACACCTTTAAGTCATGTACTGTGAACGCGATTTCCATGACTTGGTCGATAGCGAAGTTGAAGAGGAAAGCGGGCATCCTTGTTTTACACCGCTGGAGATATTGAAGAGCGTCATAAGCTTGCCGCAAGCCCTCACTCCGCCCGAGCTACGCCAGTAAAGCGCTCGCTCTCGGGCACACAGTTCCTTAGCAGACAGTCCCAAAGAGTACGTCGATCCACTGAATCGAAAGCACCTTGATGTCGAGGAACACGACAACGGTGGGCCGCTAATATATGTGACGGTGCTCTAACAACTGACGTAATGTGAATATGTCGTCGATGTATCCCCGACCACGACGAAAGCCGGCCTGCTCCTCACGAATCTGGCTTTCACGATCGTCAGTCAGTCTGTGAAGGATTACGGAGGCAAGCAATTTGGAGGCGATTGGGATCAGACTGATTCCTCTATGGTTGCCACATTCCGAACGCGAGCGTCCCTTTAAGATCGGGACAATAACGGAACGGTTGGGACAGTTTTCTGCTCCCACAGTTTCACTAGTAATTCGTGTAAATCATCAACAAGAGCAGGACCCCGGAATTTGAAGAGGGCTGGATGAAGATCATCTGGTCCCGCGGCTTTATTCAACTTCAACAGTCCGATCTCACGTTCGACTTCTGAGCGAGAGGGCGGATCCAAAGGGACAGCCCAAGGAGCCGGGGACATCACTGGCCAGCGAGGAATCTAATAGTTCCGGTCGAGTAAATTGCATTACAAAATGATAAGCCCAAGGCTTCAAACGTTTTGACAAGTTGTGGATAAGCTATCCACTCTCGTCACGTATAGTTTCACTAACACCAGGTCTCGTGCTGCCCGTTTCCCATATCAGACGGAACGACTTCCGATGATTACCAAGGGTAGCAGCCACTTCCATCTCTCACGAACGATGAGACCACCACGCTTCACGGTCTCTCTTTAGGATAGCACGGAGTTTCGCCCTCAGGACTTTGCGAGTCTTGTTGGGTTCGCTTCCAGCCGGAAAGTGCCGGAGAGCATCCATACTTCCAAAGACTGCGAAGGGACCAAATGTCTATTTTCGCTAGTGGAGTTGCCGCATGATGACTTAACTGCATCAAGTATAGTCTGATGAACATGCGACCAGTGACATACCGTGTTCAGTGAGCGCTTGCTCAACCCGAATGCAAGCGTACTTCGATATGCATTCAGAACACCTGGCTTCGCCAGTTTGTTGGTGTTTATGAGCTCACAGAATCGTCGAACAGCGACCGCCAAAACGCACCCACAGATCAGCACATACAGGTGCTTGGTCAGTTTCCACATATGTGCTTCAAATCGAGCGACAGTTTTGGACGCAGTCTCTCCAGCGATGTGATCAATTTGCGTCCATGGCTGGTGGGCGCCATGTCACCTTCCGACGGGTACTGTGTCGGAAGTTAGTGCACGCAAGAAATAAGCCAGCATCTTCACACAAATGAAGTAACCGCTCACCGCTTTCAGGGTGAGGGCCTACACTAGATGCAGCTCATCAGTGGACTATTTCCCAAGTTGAGCGTTCAGATCCACAGCAAGCACTACAGTGTCCGTGCTTCTTCTGTGGCGAAGTAGCTCGTTCAGTTGGCGATAGAAGTTATCTTTCACGGAACCATCGATATAGTTTGTGGAGGCGTAGACAGCGATGATAAACAGACACCTATTAGCCACGTGCGACTTCGAAGCTGTGAACGACCTAGTCAATCGGACCGCACACATACGGCTACTGATTGGGATCCAATCAACCAGATCAGCTTTATTCCGGGGACTTGGGCAATATCGACACAGGCTTGGCCGGTACTTGAAGCTTCATCGTCATCGGATAGGCGCAATAAGAAAGCGTTGTTAGTGTCACTTGAAGGAGGTGGCAGTGAAAACAGAGCTCGGGTCTTGTAGGCGGGTTTCGGATAGGCAGCAGATATCGATCGAGAGGGTCTCTGATGTTCGGGCAAGTGCTGCTTGTTGACCGATCTGTAGCAATGTGCGTACATTGGGGCATGCCAATATGAGGGAGGATCGGGGGCTGAAAACAGAAGCCGATGAACTGGGCTTGATCGCTTGGTTAGAAATGGATTTGTCAATAGGGCAAGAGTGATGCTCCGCGTTTGCATGTGAGTTGAAAATAGAAGATAGACGTCTACAAAAGCATGATGGGGAGGGATAAGCATTGTAAAGTTAAAAAATGTGGGGGAAAAGTGGTCGGAACGGAGCGATAAGGAAGAAAAAGCGTAAGAAAGGGAATAAGAAGACGGGAAGGCGAAATGGGTACACATCACGAGCCCCTAAAGGAGTTCTTCATCACAACCAGCTTCAGTAGGCATACTGTCAACGACTAGATAATTGCACAATCGCTGTAGTCAAACAGTTAAGTGACGCTGAGGAAAATGCAGTGTCTAGAACGTCTTCTCATGGATGACAATAAGCCCAAACCTGGAAGCAACATGCAACCTAGATGAAATAGGTAACCGTAGGCATTTCTGGAGGTGAAAAAAGTATATTGTAATCAGAATTTAATAGTAAATCAGTCAGAATCTGGCTTAATCATCGTCGGTCTGTACGTTAGGCCAGGCCCTGCACGCAATAGCCAAGCCGGCCTGCAATACCACTGAAATGTCTCTTGGTTACGTGCAATGAACTTCAAAAGGAGCAGCCGAAATGATAGCGTATATATATATATATATATATATATATATATATATATATATATATATATATATATATATACTAGTTCTGCGCAGTACTCTATAGAGCAAAGTGAAGATGGGTCAAATAAGTGATGGCAGGTTAATGAACCGCTGTCAACGGAATGTTCACGTGCACCGTACATGCGGAGTTGCCACTCTGTTCAAATGTGGAGTGCCATGGATCGCCTTCCTTGCGCGTGAAGTTGTACTGAATTGGATCCTGTTTCCAAAGCAAACTGGCACAAGTAAGGCTTTGCGTAACTTTCACAACAAACGAAAACAAGGAGCTCAATATCACCTGAAGTTGCCGGACGGATTTCAAGGAGGGCATGTGCCACCCCATCAGTCGCACACCAAACAAAACCAATACAGTCGTACTTGCCAATAATTAATATTTCTCATACTTTTCCTATTCCCATGTAGAAGCATAGGATTGATGTAAACATCCACCTGATACCTTAGTGGCGCAGGGTCTATCCATCGTAAAATATACCTAAATACTTATTTATTTTACTTACTTATGGATTGCGAACCTACCAGTCAATAGGCTAGGCTGCACTTTTCGTTGAACTTTTAAACAATGACAACGTGACCATTGAAAAAGAGAAGCCTGAGGGGTGTAGATACCGGTTAGTCTATGCAGCCTTGGGAACAACGTGATAGTGAGGGAACCGAAGCAATTCGGGAACTAAT